GGCCATAGGGTAGCACTAAGTGNTGTGGCCTGGTGACCATTAAGTCAGGAATATTTTCGAAGTGGTTTGTGATCTAAAAGCCTCCGGCTAATTTGAGGAATCTATTGATCCTCTATGAGTATACCTTTTACTTGATAGATTGTAATGATTGTAGTGGTTGTAGTATTATGCATGGAATTGGGAATACAAACCACACAATAGGAATTACCGGACACAAACCAAGGAGCAACCGTCACGGACTGGATTACGGAAGCACTGGGCCGCAATGGCACGAGCTCGCAATATCCCAAGTGAACGAGACGCGAGNTACGTAGTTAGTTTATTGGAAGAAATGAAAGTAAATAAATAATCTGTACAAAAGATCATTGATTATCTAGGCTTCCACTAATAGCATTGCAATACTGCTAGTATAATTCTGCTTTTGTCTGCACTTTCTTAGATTGGCTGGCACGATCTGCCTATGGCGAGTAGTTGAGAGCCGTACGCGTTTCATGGAAGTCACCTTTTCAATTCGATTGATCGCGAGTGTCCGAAAACTATGGCGCGCCGCTCCAGGGTAGGCGTCATCTCGTAGACCTGAATCACCACATAGATGTATTCAGAAATGTACATATGGATGGCCAACGAATGATATCCATGGACGTTAGCCCACTTGTCACTACTATTCCTATCGAGGAGACGAGTGAATATTTGTGTGACCAAATCCAGGATAGTGATGTCGAAATTGCAATATCCCTGGACGACTTGAAACAGCTATCACTGTTCTGCGTACAGAACGTTCAGTTTAAGTTTAATGACATAATCTATCGCTAAAAGGATAAAGTGGCTATGGGATCCCTGCTCGGTCCTCTATTTGCTTATTTATTTATGTCCAATGTAGATAATATACTTTTGAAGTCCAAAGTTAAGCAATACAAGCTGTATAGACGATATTTTGACGATATATTATGTTTGTGGACAGTAATCTAAAGGTGCCGACTTGCTCAGGTTATTTAATTCCGCTCATTCCAACATCAAATTCTCTTTGGAATAAGATATTATTGGCGTCATAGATTTCCTCGACATCTGGTAAAAGCGTCGTGCAGATGGTTCTATTCAGAGATGGATTTTAGAAAACCGACTTGTAGCGGNTGTGACACCCGAACGAAAAGAAATCTGATAAGGTGTTTGGTGAACAAGGCGGTGAAAATATGCACTGATGACACCATAAATATGGATCTATCATTCATTCGTGATGTTTTCCCTTAAAATGGATTTTCAGAACGTTATTTTAGATAGCTTTCCAACGGAAAGACTTTTAAACTTAAAGAAGAAGCCAGTATAAACCTCCCTTCCATTCGAAAGGGATGTAATCGCAGAATTGGTTAACCGCACATTAAGAACTGCATTGGAGACTACTTGCCATGTTGCAAAATAACGTGTCGTATTCACGTCCAGACCGATCTTGTGTTCGGTGTCGAATGCTGGCTACAGCAGAAGCGGTGGGCATTCGTCTGCACAACCCCTATCTGTGTGCCCATAAACAATTTGTGCAAGCGCTAAAGCTTCCCAGGCCCACACACACACACACACACACACCGCATCACGAGTAATCTGGATGATCGGATGAGTGGACAAACAAATGTGTGATCATGGTGAACCCAATTTCCGGCCTCACGATGAAACCGTTTCTAGTAATCTGTGATATTTTTGTTTTATTTTTCCTAGACACTTTTATTCCCAAGTAGTGATATATATTGAAATGTATTGACATGAATGCGAATCTCCGAAAACGTGCTTGTTCGTTACTCTGTTATTCTGTTTGAAATGTGCTCTGTACTACTATTTGGACGATCTTGTGTTCGCAACTCAATGAAAGTATATCTTCTTCTGCAATCTCATTTTGTGTGTACCTGTTTACGTGTTCCTGTGGAGCAATGTACGTCGGCCGCACAAGCAGGTGCCTAACTACAAGAGTCTGAGAACATCATCCGGCCTGATTGGACACCGGTGTGATTAAAACTACTACACGTGTCATCGTTTCACAACTCGTCGGGTCCGATCACACAGTGAATGAGACTGAAACAATTCGGCCTCTGTCGTGTTAGGAGTTGGAGATCAAAACCGTTTAAAAACCGCATCCTAGTCAAGGCAGAGGTGGTTGGAATTTGTCAACATAATCCCTCTTCCCTGTGTGGCCAAAAACAATTTGTGAAGTCGCTCACCCTACCAGGGCCCTTTACCTATCATCCTCCTCCCTTTCCCCAAACCGACCCCAAATCACACACAAGTAACACGAACCAAGCTCAAAATCTGATGATGAGATCGGCCATATCCGGTTTGTGAAACTGGGACAGAAAACAACGACAGCAGCAACAACAATCGCCGTTTGAATAATCACTTATTTTATTGTGAATGTTATGTGATATCGGTAGATAATTGTATGCGCCAACGTTTCGGTTGCAGTGGGTAACGTTTCTCGAAGCAGGTTTTTTATTGTAAAATCGTTTATTTTGTTTCCTCTTTTCTATGCAGAATGATGTTACATAAAATGTGCCGCATTTGCCAATCGATGAGTCACAGAAAATGAGCTTGTTGACTAAACTGCATTTCCATTCAATGTGTGTCTCTAGTATGTTCCAGGAATGTAGTGTTTACTATTTCTCTAAAATAAACGTGACTTTAAAAGTATTATTCATTCAGGTTGTTTCTAACTATCCAATCGTATGTTTTCAGCAGATTGATACAGTACTGATGCACAATACGAATCTGCATAACATCAGATCGTTGCATTGTCAGTTTCATGTCGGGCAGGAGGAGGAACCACATGTTAGCAAAGTGAAAAGTAATTTCCTTCTTTTCGATACTTTCCATCATCTACATACATTAGTTATCAGCAGTGTTAGACGCCGACAACACCAACAAATCAGGTGACTAGTCTCTGTGTGAACAAATTTTTATGTATAATTCGCAAATGAAGAGCACACCAACGCCTAAATACACATAGTTGTGCTATTGATTATTGATTGGCACTTAATTAAATGATTCCTGCTATGAGTAACACTCAGGTAATCAATAGAAACAAGGTCTCTTCGGCTTCTAATAAAAGCAGTTACCAAAGCAGTTATTGTGTCAGTTACAGAACAACATTGTTATCCGATAATATGTCTATAACTAAATAGCAAATTCAGACGCATAGTTTCATGATGGAGCTCGGGCTTATAGCATTGCGAAACGGTGATTAGCTGTTTCTCACGTGATGCGATGGTTCGCATCGACCGTGTCTGAAACCATAGATAATTTTTAACCAATGGTAATCGAGTAAACACAAAATGACAGCTACAATGGCAAAGGCGATGATAAAAGGTATATAGGGAGGATCAGAACGTGACATCGTTGCATTCTCGCATCCCTCAATTTCGGATCGAGATGCCAGGAAAGTATCTAGACAGACAATACTGTCGCTGCAGCATCTGCTACGCGCCACCGTTAATCACTTGGCATGGTGATACCCATGTGCAACTCGAAGCCTTTGAAGACCGAAGGTGAGCTGAATAATTGAAGCAAGCTTTTACGGTACAGACCTCTAAATTTACGTTTTATTCGTTTCGTGGTCTTTTAACATACACTTATCGAGCAGGGACTCACTTATTTTGCTTGAATAGTCAAATGATTATTAAACTTCATCCACAAATAATTCCTATATGCATGATTTTCCCGTCGCAATGTACTCAATGACTTGAATGAGCATATTTTTCAAATAAAACGAATATCTATGTATGTTTTGATCAACTATAATTTGCACTAATTGCAACACCTTTTATTTCATGTTGGATTAATTGATGCTAATATTTGCGAGGTCAGGTGGAGCAGGTGCTTTATGTAACAGAAAGCTACATATCTAGTTATTACTAATACAGTTATACCGCAACAACGACACAAGCAACCACAATGGAACTGACGCAGAAAAAATCGTGTTGCTTTTAGCATTCCAAAGAAGAAAACAACCAAAATTGTCGACTGTTCTCTATATATTTGTACTCACCAGATAGTTTTAATAGTAAAAGTGGTGCAGACAATAATTAACCATCCACTCAATCAAATGTGATATTAATTAAACATAAATCATAAAATCATAGGTGTTGTGATTCGCCCAGTGACTTGCTTTTTATTCTCGCAGTTTTATTGATTTATAAGGCAAACTACCTTAATCAGTTTTTTTTCAACGGGCACTTAAAAACCACTCGTGTTTTTCTTTCAGACTGGAACCTCATTTGTCGTATTCAATAAACAAACGTGAACGATGGCTTCTGATGGACGAATTACGTCGAGAAGTTCAAAACAGAATGATTGATGCCGATAAACTTGTTCTCGTTTCTCAATGGAATCCTTATTCGGAAATTAAGAGTAACGCCTTCTTTCACAACCTCCAGGATGGATTTCATGCCTCGAACACCGCATATGGACGTCGGCTGAACTCTAAATCTCATGTGATTCAACTGCTACATTCGCTGAAACCAGAAAACATTGCATCAGCCATGAGTGATGATACAAACAGTTCATTCAAATTGTTTAAACGCCCAAGGCAACACAAAGATCACCATAAACCTCGTAATTCCGAAGACAGAAAATCGAAAGTCTCCAACCGGGTGGAAACCACCGACTCGTTTGTATCTATAGAATTGGTTGGTCATGTTTTAAGGCTCAAATCGATCGTATACCGTGGGCCTAAGGGAATCTGGTCACCGCGGAAAGTACACCAGATTATTTTTGAAGACATAGAGGACGCAAAAGCTGAATATTTTGGCAAGGGCGACAATGTACCACAAGTAATTTCAGACGAAAATTGCAAACATTGTGCAGCTGTCCGTCCAGATTCACTTCAACAGACCAACCAATCCTGTGCATCCAAGAAGCAGTCGGCAGTAGACGTCACGTGTTCAGATGCTAAACCGTTGACAATTCAAATCCTTAGATCAAATTTAAATAAGTCCCTACACTCGCACTGGTTTACTGTCCAGATGCCCGAACTCCTGCCCATTGATATCAAGCATACAGTTGAATCGTTTAGTTTGCAACCAGAGGAGAGCGTCAAATATCTGTCCTACCTGACCACAGTGATATGTATAATCAGGATTACTCCTTTAATACACCATTGTGATTCAAACAGTGACGCCTACATTTTGCTTGAAGAAATCGAAGATCAGGCGGAATCTACTACCTCCAGTCGACTGTACGCTGTACGGCTACAATCAGCTTGCACCTCGTCTAACAGTGCTTTCATGGAGAACAGCCTGGCACTTGAAGATGCGGATGAATCGTATGAATCGAGCTGGAAGGAACTGGATTTATCACAGCACTTTTATTTTGACAATTTACGAGAATTGATTGGTCGTGTAGTGCGGACAATGTTGCAGCACTTAGCGAGCGCTTGCGAGTAAGTACAAAAAGCTGGTTTTGCTTCTGATATGGGTGTAGTAATTGTGTGTGTGACGGTCTGATGTGTGTCGCGGAGCAGTTCGTTGCGCTAAACGTGCATTCTTCTGTATAGACTGTCATTGAAACCACGGCGATATCTTGGTATGTAACACTTGCTGTGATCCGGCATTTCAATTCATTGGAAATGTGAACTGTTATGAAGAAGAAGCCTACAGCTTCTTTATTAAAATCTTTTACAGGGCTATTGATTAGAACCAGCAAGATCGATTAATGTCAGCCTGGATAAAACCGGATGTTTGGGAATTAGTGATCGAGCGAGTTGATGAAAGCATATTAATCATCAAAAACATATCACTTGGTCAGCTTCTGAATTGGTCTGTAAGACCTCTGTGATTACTGAATGAGTGGGGAGAGAGTTAAATGATTACGAATGACACAGTAAAAAATTTAACTAGAATACTCATAACGATAGCGTAGCATTCATCACACCTATCACGCAAAAATGTAAATATGCGCACAGGTGCTCCAGCATTTGCTGAATTAGTTTGAATATGGCACAGATACGCCATGATTTACATTTATGATATACATATATTTCTTTTCTATAGATGTGAGAAAAATACACATTCGATCGTTCCCCGTTCACAATCTCCACAGCAACATGAAAGTAGCGGAAGCGTGTTAAAACGTGAATCCAGTATGAACTCCGATGATTCATTCGTCATCATCCATCGTTTGGATGACAACCGAACAGAAAAATCAACGGAGATTTGCTGCCAAATATGTTCCGATACTTCCAGTCAGAATTCCACTAATCACGATGTCCAGAATCAAGAGAACAAGGTTATTTGGACTCTGTGCACATCGGGCCATACTGCGTGTTCCAACTGCATTCAGTCTCACGCGGTGAAAACGATGCAATCTAGTCAACTGATCCATGCTCGTGATGTGTGCCCTCGAATCCCCTGTCCGATAACCGAGTGTGACGCGAGTGTGAACCGTTCTACGCTGTTGAGGGCAGTCCAGCCAAAGGAATTCTTTCATTCCATACCACTTGAAGAGATTGATGGAACATGAGTGTGGCTTTCTTGTGCTCTCTTCTATTTCAGCTGTGGAGAGCACTCCCGAATCCACTTGCATGATTCTGTTACTGTCATACACGCACTTTGACCTCAATGTACATATCACAGTCGCTAAATGTCTTTCTATATCCGTTGGTTATATGGCAGTGGGTGGGATAATGAAGAACTATTGACGATAGAATCTGCTGTTTTTTATAACTGCGGTTTATTTTCTCGGTCCTTTATTTCTTATTCATCGCTTCATTTTATTTCCTTTCATTAATTTTTCACTTTTTAAGATGCACCAAAATATACATCGTCGTATCTACGAATGAAAAATCGACTTATTCAGAGAGCTGATTGACTCTCCTACAAATCTTTGGTACACCTAAGATCAAAGTGCAGTACTGTTCAGCCGTTGAGAGCGCTGTGGTTAAGGTAGCTCAAATAAATGTGCATGGTTTACAAATGCACCACAAGACAATCTTTGTTCCCAGTTTCGCTTATAATATTTGCTGAGAGTATTTGATTTGTTATTCAAACATACCAGTTGGCGCACGATTTTAGGTTCCTCCACAAATCTGACCAAGTTGCTCCGGTCAACTGTACTAGGACTATAAACCATTTGGTCATTTTGTTTTTTACCCATTTCCAGAATTTTACCATTCAACGAAAGTACAGGTGCATACTTTTCAGAGAATTATAGTGCTAACATTGGAGTCACCATGATCTTTGTACACAAAATGCAGGTGGTTTGGAATCAGGGTTGTTAGCCGACTCCCCTAGATTGATTAATAATGATCACTGGACCGGGGTGAGTTCGGTGAGCATTTGCAGAACGCATTTCAGATACTTGATCGTTTAGGAGTATTTATATGAAGAGTAAATAACTCTCTATTGTGCGTTTACCGATATTCAACTAAAATGTATAAACGTCTTTCCAAAACGTTGTACGTTCTGAAAAATACCGCTGCTAATCACATGTGGTGCTTGTGAGGGAGTGAGGCAACAGAAACAATCCGTTTTACAGGGGAATCTGGATTATTACAACTAGCACACAAGAATCCGTCATAATCCTGGTCTACCGGAAAATCTCAGCCACGGAGCGACGCGTTACAGTTTCTGAACAACGAACCACAGGTGAATAGTGCCGACCAATCAGAAGTCTTGTGGCCCATATAAGAGCTGTATGACGTCGTAACTACAATCGGGCGATTGGTGGATACCGGGATAACCCAAAGCTTCCTT